AATAATAATTATGATAATAATAATTGAAATATGATGAGCATCAACAACCATAACTCAGCAAGAGGAAAAATACCCAAAACTAAAGACAGAACTATACAAAACTACCAGTAATCTTAATAAGTCAATGTAGGATAATGATCAAAACAGAGATTTAAATACTATAACTTGTGCAAGAACATTACATTTTCACTCACATCTATCAGATACACTAGCTCACATACGGTCATAATGGTAGTATGACATCATCTTCTTGACGTACATTTTTTAAAATGATTTAACAGTTTTGCATTCCCTGATTCCAGTGTCCAAGTTATTCCATAATCTGACTCCTACTGTTGTGCAACTCTGACTTCTAACATTTGTTCTTACTTTCTCTCTTACAAATTGTCCTTCTCCCCTTAGTTCCTACCGAGTTTCTTTGACCTGGAATAGCTTCTGAATACAGTCTGGAAATATTTTATTTTGTACTTTATAGAGTACTTGTGCTGTCTGTCGTTTGACCAGATCAGTAAATTTAAATATTTTTAGTTTTATAAACAGGGGGTGTGTTGGTGCATGGTAATCAGAGTTGGTAATTACTCTTATTGCTCTTTTCTGTAGTAAAACTATGGGTTTTATGTTTTTGTTTATTTATTTGGCAGACGTTTTTATCCAAAGCGACTTACAATTTATAACCTATAGGGCATGTTGTGATCTGTGGGGGAAACCGGAGTACCCGGAGGAAACCCACGCATGTATGGGGAGAACACGCAACTCCACGCAGAAAGGCCGCAGCCGAGTTTCAAACCTGCGACGTTCATGCTGCGAGGTAACAGTGCTAACAACTGCGCCACCATGCAGCCAAGTTTTATGTGAGATTTGTAAGTGTTTCCCGAGATCTCCAGACAGTACATCATATGAGAAAGTACTAATGATTGGTATAAGAGTAATAATGATTTTACATTTAGAATATGTTTAGATTTATTTAACACTGCAATAAGTTTAGACATCTTAATTTTAACATTTTCTACGTGCGGCTTCCAGCTCAGCCTTTGGTGTAATGTGACACCCAAGAATTTAATTTCACTTACACTTTCTATTTCTACGCCATTTATTATTAATTTAGGAAGATTGTTTTGATTTTGTTTTCCAAATATAATGTATTTAGTTTTACTTAGATTTAATGATAATTTGTTACTGTCAAACCAGGTCTTTAGTATTTTTAGTTCACTTCCAACCATATTCAATAGTTGTTCTATGTCTTTCCCTGTGACATACATATTGGTATCATCTGCAAAGAGAATGTAGTTCAATTGATTGGTTACTTTATTGATGTCATTTATGTAAAGTGTGAATAACTTGGGTGTCCTAACACTGAACCTTGAGGTACCCCACAGGACACTTGTTTTGTTGGTAATTTTACATTTTGGATTTTTGTGAATTGTTGTCTTCCTGTTAAGTAGCTTTTTAACCAGTTATTTGCTGTTCCTCTTACGCCAAATTTATATAATTTGGTTAGCAGGAAATTGTGATCTATTGTATCAAAGGCTTTCTTAAGATCTAAATAAATTCCTATTGTATAATTTTTATCAATCGCTTTAGCTATTTCCTCTACCATGCTAATTGCTGCCATTGTCGTTGATCTTTTTGTTCTGAATCCATACTGATGCTCACTTAGTAGATTATTTTTTTCAGTGAAATCATCCAATCTGCTTACAAATATTTTCTCTGTTATTTTGGAGAACTGAGACAATAGAGAGATTGGCCTGTAGTTGGATGACTGTTTTTAATCACCTGATTTAAATATTTGTATAACTTTCACAATTTTCATTTTACTGGGGAAAATACCTGTTTTAAATAATTGATTACAAACGTATGCAAACGGGTTTGCAATACATTCTATTATGCTTTTTATTAATGACATGTCAAAACCCTCAGTGTCTTTTGATCTATTGTCTTTACATTTTTTTACAGAGGAAATGACTTCTGTTTCATCAGTGTCCTTAATAAACATGGTATTTATACTAGCAGTTATGTGTTCAGTAACATCAATTTCACCTATGGGTTTTCCTATCTTATTAGCTAGATTGGTCCCAATATTTACAAAATTATCATTTAGTGCGTTAGCAATTTCTCCATGTTTATTTATAGGAATTCCATTTTTACTGGCCAGAGCCTCAATTGGGCTTTTTTGCTATCGTTATTATTAATATTTTTTTATATTTTCCATGTTTCTTGGGTATTATTTTTGTTCAGTTGTAGTAATTAGTCATAGTATTCCTTTTTACTAGTTCTAATTATAGTTGTTAGTTTGTTTTTATATGATTTGTATCTGTTTTCTGCCTCTTTTGTTCTAGTTTTTATATGAATAGTTTATATAGTGTATTCTTCTTTTTACAGGCATTTTGTAGTCCCTTTGTCATCCATGGCTTATTATTTTGTTGTTGTTTTTGTTTTCTAATTGGACAGTTTTTATTGTAAAATTCAAGTATTATTGTTAAAAAGGTTTCAAATGCTTTACTTGGATCATGCTGTTTAATACTGCAATGTGTTCTGCTGTTCTGCACCGGGTCAGTTTGGGCTCTTCTATTTTTGTGTTATTTTCAGTATTTTTCAAGTTTTGTACGATGGCAAATACTGGAAGATGGTCACTAATATCGTTGATGAGTAACCCGCTACTTATTTTATTTTCTCTTTTATTTATGAATATATTGTCTATTAGTGTTGCTGCATTTACTGTTATTCTGGTTGGGTAGGTTCGCTGGAGTTTTTGACAGTTAAAATTGCGCCCACATTTTCAAAGTTAAACACGTCTCTTTTAAGAGCGGTACTTTCTGCATCCTGCTTCAGCCCTCTCCCCCCTCCCCCTGCGCAGTGGCCGCAAACTCACTGATGCGCCTGCAGCCTCTCAGAGTTCCTGCTGCTCTAAACATTAAAATAATTATTTCATTTTCTGTTCCTCACTTCTGATTACATTCAATGGTGTCTGTTTGTTGCAACCACCAGGTACAAAAACTAACTTGTTTTTGTGTGACTATTTTTCTGTCCTGCCTGTTTATTATCTTCCTGCATCTCCTCTCAATCCTAAAGAAAAACTGCTACCTGGGTTCATACATATTCACCTTATGAGTTACCTTTGAACTGCAGTTCTAAAAGATCTACCGACCGCAAAAACAGCGGAGTGCTCGCCGGCCACACCAGTGAGGTGCGTCACCGGGGGACAAAACAGGTGATGCGCCCCGCTCCACAGCAGCGAAAAGCATCAGGCACAAATAAAAGACAGAAAACATAAAAGGAAATGAGCTGACATGAACGATTGCGTGTTAAATTTGTTATTGAGGTGGTGACACCTGATTTGATAATGTTACTGTGGCCGTGCTCAGGACGCAGATGTCTGGAGCATGTCAACAATCAGAGCTCTGCATGCGCAAGCTGGTTAAGGTTAGGATGGGGTTGAGGGGAAGGTTAAATTGCAAGAGGGTAAAGGTCACAATTCAGTCAAATGTCCATTTTACCGCGGGCATCAGATACCAACGCTCTGGCACAGCGCACCGCCTCCCAACACGCAGGGGCTCGTCACCTACTGTCTTTTTCGAGGACTGCATCTTGTCGGTCATTATCACGTGACAGCGACTAGTCTATGAAAGGCATAAAATGTCACTACAGAGCAGTGAATATATATATATATATATATATATATATATATATATATATATATATATATATATACACACACATATACATATACATATATATATATATACATATATATATATATATTGGTTAGGTCATTTTTGACATCCACTTTTCAATGTAAATCTACAAGATGTCTAACCTGAGACACAGATCCTCGATAAGTGAATGAGCGGTTCGACATGAGCTGCCTAATAAAGCACCATCAAGCAGGTAGGGGGTTGATCGCTCAATGCGAGGAGCGGAAAGTGTCTCTTTCCTCTTTCATTACAGACAAAGCTTCCACCTGTGAGATGATAAGCCCAGGCAACTTTTTATCTGTTTGTCTTGCTGAGGGATAGACAGGAAGCAGTGATGAGATTATTACAGAGACTTTAGTTTGTCTTTACATACATCCAGGTTCACTTTATGACTGGATTTCAGGCAAGGAAACAGAATCTGTGCAGCCACTCTTTGTTTCAGCTTAACATAACTGCTTTATATTTATGATATTCATGTTCACTACCTGGGAAAAAATAGCTTTTGGGGATGAGTGCTAAAGTTTTAAACCACCACTTTATACTTTATATTTTCTTCAACATATTGACCATTTACTTGTCCATTTAAAATCGTTACAAAAAAGTCTAGATTAAGGGAAGCAAAGTAGAGAGAAAATAGCGAATACCAAATATGTTGTTTAAAATAATGAGTGATTACAGATTAAACAACTGGCATACAGGAATTCTGTTTATTGGTAATGTAAAGATTCACACAGGTACATTTGTTATTTTAGGAATCCAGGCTAAGCTGATTGTACAGTTGTCTAGGTGACAGTTTCTCCCCATGAAAGTGTATTTGTAAGCTAAAATTCCAGAGTTATTTGCCTGCTACTATTAGCCTTACCACTCCCCTGTACTTAATGCAGAGGCCTAAAATTGTCATTGATCTCCTCAGACGCTCTTTGAAAGGCAGAAACTCTTCCAGAAGCACAGAATAATTTCTCTGCACAGTGATAAGAATCTGAGTCATGTAAAACCCTCTAATAACACTTAAGAGCAGCAAGAGAAAGAAACTTCAGAAAAGAAAGGAGAATAAAGTGTAGGGGGGGGGGGGGCAAATAAGAGAGAAACACAGAAGATTGCTACAAAGGCATTTAGAAAAGTGAGGCGACACTAGGACAGACTGGGAATGGACAAAAAGAGAGGCAGAAAAAAAACAAAGGCAGGCAGTGAATCGGGCGGTCAGAGTGACAGAGGCAGACTGACAAGCAGCCAGAACAGATCGAGTCACTGATAGATGACGGCAAAATGTCAGGAGAAAAAAATGAGAAGAGGATGCACTTGTTGTACCTTCTTTTTCAGCTCGAAATACGAACGTTCGAAGGGAAGTGACAACCTCAAACTTGTTGTCTCCGAGTCCTCGGACCTGTCTGATGGCGCTGGCCAGGACCATCCCTTTAGAGTACATCTCCTAAACACAAACATATGAAGGTTTGCTGTAAAACACACAACATAATCCAAACATGATGACATTTCCCAGTAATAATTCTTTTTGCATCAACGAATGTGTAACTCTGACTTGTGCATTACTGTCAAATATGTTCGGGTTTGTCCTCGTGAAAACAGAACTGTATCCCATCAATGTAGCATCACATTCATTTACACAAATAAATACTTCTTTCTTTCAGGCAGCAACTTTGAAAAAAGGCAAAAGGAAGAGTCTCAAACAAGAAGAATCAAAGCGGCATTGCTGCTGGAATGAACAAAGAGAACAGAAAACCCACGCCGTGACGCCTTGAGAGTGGGCAAGCCGAGTCCAATCAGCATCCAGGGTGACTTTTCACCTCAGAATCCAAACTTCAAAACTGGGAGATTTGAAACAGGAAGAAACAATTCCAAAAGTGAAACGCAGCCCGCTATAGAAGCCCAACCAAAGTACCAGAATAACACCCAAGGAGTTGTTATTTTAGTGTAAAAAGAAACACGATGAAAGAAAACAAACTTCACAGATATTTATGAAAAAAATAAGAAGAGATCTGTACCACATTTCTGGGCTTCGTAGCGTAGAACAGGACGCACTCAGGTAAACTGGGATTTTTTGTTTTTTATTATCTCTGTGTTTTAGCTCCTCTGAAAGCATCAAAACAAGGAGGAGGATGCACTGGAGGCTTCGTGACCCTCTTTACATTCTCCCTTGATAATGGCAATTAAAGTACTGGGTCACCGTGAAGAAGGGGAAGAAATTAAACCGAAGTAGGATCACTACAAAAGCAAGGACAGATTGGTACCACCCTCACATCGGTATTCGAACCTTATGAGGTAAAAATCCTTTAAGTACACCTTGCTAGAACTGGGTTGGACCCATTTTTGCTTTGGAACTACATTAATCCTTCATGTCAGATTCAACATGGTGTTGGAAACGTTCCTCAGAGGTTCTGCTCCATGTTGACATGACAGCATCATAGAGCTGTACCTATATGAAGGTCCCATTCCACCAAATCCCAAAGGTTTAGGACTAGATTTAATCCATCTGCATCAAGGTTCTACTCCAGTGGTTCCCAAACTTTTTTCTTGAGGACCTTGTTGTCGTTGTCCAATACAAACCAAGAACGGCCAAACCTCAACTGCTACCTCCAAACGCACGATAAACTGATTATTTACAAACCTTATACAAACATACATAGATATAACTCTTATGCAGAGTTTTGATCATACTATTGGATGTGTTATTGGGACAATCTTGTGGGAACCCCATTCCAGTGGTCATGGACCCCAGGTTGGGAATCACTGATCTAGGGTTAGGTCACCTTTGACATTAACAAGATGGTTTCATACACACAGCTGCTGGTAACTGGATATTTTATTTTTTAGGACCATTCTCTTTAAACCATCGGTGGTCCTAGGAGAAAACCTAACCCTAACCCTAACCAATAAACCCAAACCTCACCTCACCAGTTCTAGCAAAACCATTACCCCTTACTTCCATCCAGGGGCGGCTGGTCCATAGGGGGCGATAGGGGTGACGTCCTCCCAAGAAAAAAGGAGTTTATTTTTTTTCATGTGCTCCTCATCATTGCTGTTCAGGTCCACCATTGTGGTTTGCTTGTCTGTGTTGTCCAACCAGTTTGAGCCCTCCCTGCTGGGAGTTCCACCCTTATGGGGTGATGGGGGCGATCAGTATTGCCCTCATTGAAATGAATGTAAATGCTTTCCCCCAACTTCCCGGAGCAACAACGAAGCTTCTAGGGGCTGCTGGGACGTCTCCCTATATGCCTACGCCACACGTTATACCCCAATACAGGTAACGTTAAGGGCACGCACAGAGCGGCAAACCATTTCCATCATGGCGAGCTGCCGGAGCAACACTGTTGTCTCTTTGAAAGAGTTTCCATTTATTCGTCGTACCAACGCGAAAAAAATTGCAACGAAACTGTTAGGACCAAATCTCAACATCAAATAAGCAGCAGTTAAAGGCGGGAAATCCTATAATCGAGGATTTTCGAGAAGGTGGTATGACCAGACCAGCTGGCTCATGGGCTGTGAGACAGCAGGGTCGCTGTTCTGCTTCCCATGCCTGCTGTTCAACCCAGATTACGCCACGGTGGCCCACAGCTCGTGGACGACCACAGGAGTCACCGACATGCACCATCTGGCTGAGAAGGTGAAGAGACACGAAGCGTCAAAAATCCACATGGACAGCTGCTTTAAGTTTTCTACGTTCAGACGAGTTAATATCACCGAGGAGCTAGACAGCAGCTACTGCCTGGCAGTCCGCCGCCATAACGAGGAGGTGAGCAGGAACCGACATCTCCTTAATCGCCTCATAGACTGTGTCAAATTTTGTGGCGTGTTCGAGTTAGCCTCGCGGGGAAAAGATGAAAGGCTCAAAAAACGCAGGCATTTTTCGGGGATTAGTGGACTTGGTGTGGTGCCTTTGGATGAGGTGTTTGAGGAGCAGCTGAAATAAACAACTGTTTTCAAGGGCACATCAAAAACTGTTCAGAATGAGCTGCTGGACAGCATGCTGGCGGTCGTCAGGAAGCGCATTACTGAGGACGTCATGGCAGCTAGATTTGTTGCCATCCAAGCTGATAAGACCACTGATGTGTCAACACAGACACAGAGCTCGTGGTTGTGGTTAGATACATCGACGCACAGCATGCAGTGCAGGAGCGCTTTTTTGAGTTTCTCCCTGTTGTGGATTCGACGGCCAACTCGATCGCCAGTGTGCTTTTGGACAGACTGATCACCCTCTTTCCTGATGCTCACAAGGAGAAGTTCATCGCCCAGGCTTATGCTGGAGCCAGTGTGATGAGAGGTGAGCAGGCCGGAGTCCAGCAAAAGGTGCGCGAGCATTTCCAAAATGCTCATCATGTGCACTGCTATGCACATCAGCTCAATCTGATTATGCAGCAAGCAAACTCAACCATCCCTGCCGTGAAATTTTTTTTTCTGGTCTGAGTGGTACTGCCAGCTTTTTTGTCCGCTCGCCCAAACGGACCAGCATTCTGGATGAGGTGGTCGCTAGAAGGATGCCCAGAGCTCCAGCCACAAGATGGAACTTTAACAGCAGAACTGTCAACACCGTGCATGGGCACCTGGAAGACCTCATTCAGCGTTTTGAAACTATCAACTCATCTGGTTCTTTTGACGGCAACACAATGAGAAAGGCATGTGGGTTTCTCAGGATGCTGCAGGACGAGGATTTCCAGTTTTTTAGGGTTCCAAGCCCAAAGGGCATTGGAACCCTATTGTTTTTCTTTGGGGTTTTTTTTTGTAGCTGTTTAGTAAAATGATGCCTCACGTGGACATCCTGTACAAGAAACTGCAGAAGAAGGACATCTATGCAGTCTTCATCAAGCACACCCTCCAGATCTTCATGAGCAGTGTTGAGGCAATTAGATAAAATTATTATTGTTATTTGACATGTGTATTGTTCAAAAGCAAGGTGTGGTGTGTGGACTACAAAAAAGGTAAGAAGTGATCCAACCTAAATCAATACTATGAATTTGTTCTATTAATAATTTAACTTAGACAAACTCAGTTCAATTTCTTGTAACCTATTTACGCAATTAATTGAAGTTGGATCACCGATTCCCTTTTACAATGTGAGGCAAGTGAATGGAAACCACAGACTGACCTTTGTACTCGACCTTTAGCCGATCGACAGGTGCACCCCTAGTTGTCTACAAACTGAGCTTTCTACCTTTGAGAGCTGGTAAAATTTTACTTAGGGGTGGAATAGCCCTTTAAGCTAACCAGAATTATAACCAAAGCACAAAATAATCAGCATTTTATCTGTCAGACAACCATGTGACATTTACAAAACACTTCAAAGTTATTATATTATAAGCAAACTTTCCATGTCACTGTTTCACACTCAAGTCAGAGAAATGTTATTTTTGATGCATAAAACTTCTTAGTGTTGTCATGTTCTTATGTCTAATTTTTTGTTTGCTCTGACATTTGGATTTACTGACAGGCATTGTTGGTCTTCCCTCAGGCAGTCATCTCAACAGCAGCGGCAGGAGGCCACAGAACCCACCACCAGAAGGAGAACAGCCTTGGGAGAGGACGAGAAGCAGAGGCTGTGGGAGAAGACCTGCAACACCATCCTGACTCACACCGGAGAGAGGTTCTCCTTCACCAACCACCTGATCAGTGCCACACTGCTACAAGCAGCAATGTTTGAGCAGCACTGCCACACATTTCCCACGGGTGCTCTGAATGCCACGGTGGAGGCATACCCCATGCTCAACAAGAACAAACTGAAGACAGAACTATCTCTGGTCTATGAGAACCCTGAGTTCAGGAGCTGTTGCGGTGCGCTGGCGTTGTTTCAGCTTCTCATGAGATACAACCTCCAGGACACGTTTTCTGTCGCCGCTTTGATGAACATCCTCATCACAACCCCAATGACGACAGCTGAGGCGGAGAGGTGCTTCTCAACTCTCAAAAGAATGAAGACATTTCTGAGTAATTCAATGGGCCAGGAACGCCTTAATGCGCTGGCCGTGCTGTCCACAGAGAGGGAGCTAGTCTGGTCCATGCCTGACTTCAATGAGAAGGTCATCGATCACTTTGCTGCTTTGAAAGTCAGACGAGCAAAGTTCGATTACAAATGAACAGGTTCCTTATCTTTGCTTGTGGCATAAACTACTCACTGTGAAACTTTTATTTCTTTTACTCAAAATGCAACAAACCAGATTGTGAAAACTTAAATGACTGATGAAACATTTCACAAAACCCTATTTTCTTTCATAAAAATGTACAGATAGCTGATTTATTGCTGATTGTTTTTTGTGTTCCACTTGTTCATTGATCATATATTTTATACTTACAAGTCTGTATTCATGATAAATTGTATATTAATTTTCACATTTGATCCAACTATAACTATTGCATCACAGCATTTAACACACGTATGGTAATACTTTCTGATTTACTTACTTTACTGTAATATTTGAGTAT